TATAGAGAGAGAGAGAGAGAGAGAGTCACAACCATTTAATGTACACTCTCTGTAATACTAGAAAGTTATCAAATCAAAGCAGATAATTAATGAATTAATCCTATGTGGCAAAGCATATATATACTGCAACAGTTTGGAAGACAGGGCCTTGACAGTGACTTCTCACCAGAAGGAAGTCAAGAAACTTGATGCAGAGGTGAAAATTCCCAAGTTCAATATTGATGCAGTAAGATTTGGTTAGATGAGGGCAAGTTGGATTTCCCATAGGCCTGAATTAGCTTGAGTGAACCTGTGCTTTCAAGAGAAAGGTGCAAGGTTAAACACAGAACCTCCCCTCCCCACTTCCCTAACTCCTCTCATGGGTGTCATGATTTTTTTTGTAGAGGTTTTTACTATAGGGCGTGTGCACTAGCCAGAAAGACAGAGAGAGACAGAGAGATGGAAAGCGAAAAATCACCCCCCAGGGAGAATGGCCACACTGAATCCCTTCTCCTCCATTTTCCTCTTGGGACCTTGAGGCGTCCAGTGTGAGTGTAAGCCACCGGCTCCGGAGTTCGAACTGTGGTCGACTACATGGGAGTTCAGCGACATAGCCATGATGCTAACCGCTGGTCCTGGGTGTCAGGATATTATCATCTGGCCATTTCTTTTGACTTCTTTTTACATTGTTAGCTCATCAATCATGAAGCTCATTTTGTTTATTAAAAGATAGAAAGGTGGAGACCAGCAGTTAATGTAATGGCTATGTTGCTGGACTCCCATGTAGTCAACGGTGGTTGGAGTCCCGGACCTCGTGGCTTAAACTCACTCTGGGCATGTGTGCGTGTGTGCCCGAGATCCTGAGAGGAGAATGGAAGAGAAGGGATTGTGGCGTGGCCATAGCCCTGGGGGGTGATTTCTCGCTTTCTGTCTCTCTGTCTCTCTGTCTTTCCAGCAAACGCACACACCCTATAGTAAAAACCTCTCCAAAAAAAAAAGGAAAAAGAAAAAAAAAGATACCAAAGGTGACACTCCAGAAAGTATTTCCACCACTTCCTCCTGCTCCTGAACTCTCACTTGAGCTCTGGGTCTGGTAGGCAGATATTGTCTAAAGAGAGAAGAGTGTAGTCAGTGTGTCAGACTGGGACTTTGGTAGGAGGACTGAATAGATAAGGGGGTACAGAATAGGCCAGTTATTACACCATCAGATCTCCTAAGTGCAGACAGGCCCAGCTGATGGGAACTGACATGCAGAAATAGTACGTTATGGCACGGGCAGACATGGAACTATAATATTAGGATTCAAAAATCTCTGTGGCTTTGTCTCTGTTCTTAGAAGGGACTAAGGCTGCAAGGAAACAAATCCTTTTATTTTCTCTAACCTCTGCTTTTTCAGATTAACTCCTCTCTCGTCACGGACAAACAGCCCTTTAGTCATCACTCACAACAGGAAGCCTGCAAGCTAGGGCCTTTCTCCCTTACAGAGAACAAATTAAACTCACCCAAGCAAATTCAGTTATCTCTTCAGAAATCTTCCAACCCCTGCCCTCCACAATCAATCAATACAGGACAGATGCCAATGGATATTCCATGGAAATGAGTGAAGGAAGGCCACAGCCTAATCTCCCATAAAGGAGCTCTCTCAGAGAAGCTGTGAGAAATGAAAGTAAGTTCTTGGGTATAAACAAGAAAGGGGAAGTGAAACTATGGGCCAATAGGGTACCTCCACGTCCGTGTCTCTTCGATGCCACATTCTGAGTGAGTTAACACTGGGTGCATTTGCTTATTACAGGAAGAGAGGTGGTAAATGAGGAAGTGCTCACTTAACATGCTTTTCTCCTGGGTCTCATGTACTGTGATCATGCCTTAATTGTGACATATTTTCATATTAATTCACTCACATATTAATCGTTACAAAAGGTGCTCCTTTCTTCCTTTTGCTTCTGATCTTTGACTGATTTTTCCTTTAGGTCACAAATTCAATTTATAGAGAAGAATAGAAGGTTAATGATTTGTATTTATTTATTTAAAAACTAATTATTTAATTTTACTTACTTGTTCATTTATTTTAATTTGAGCAGAGAGATTCACACAAAGAGAGAGAGAAAGGGAAAGTGAGAAAGCAAACCACTAAGTCTGGGACTCGAACCATGTCTGGCCATGTGGAAGTCCAGCATCTCAACCACCACACCACTTGCTGGCATCAAGGTTAGTGCTATGCTAGGTTACTGACTCTGGACCTGGAGATCTCATATGGAAAGTAAATGTATAAAAAAAAAAAAAAAAAAGCTAAAGTGAAAGACAGCTGTGATACCATTAAGTATTTCAACCCAGAAAGGGCAGAATGATAAAAATTTACATGGAGAACTTTGCAGAAATACTGTATTACAGTGATAGCTATTACATTCTTAACAATTATCAGAGTGCCCCAGATTCTCCCTGTTGTCTTTTTAAACTATCATTTTCCTCCCTGAGCAGGGAAATGAGAAAAAGAGCAGAATTTCATTATAAATTACAGCAATTTTGTTGACTGAAATACCAGTAACAAAAGAGTCATAATTGTCACCAGTAAGTTCAATTAAAATTAAAATTGCACCTATAATTATATAGGATTGATCTGAGACAATAAAGAATAAGTTATGAAAGGTCTTCTCCTTCTTTCATGAGCCTGTCCTTGATGATAAGGTTATTACATGATAACAAAGATGATAGAGAAAAATCTACCAGCTCTCAGAATGCAATTTGTACAAAATGGGATGTTTCATTACATTGAAAATCATCATGAGTTTCTTAGCTGTTAGAACAAATTTGACTCAAATGCAAGAAACTGAAACTGTCAACAGGGCTGATTATGCCAACATGAGTTTTGTTTCCTGCCTTGTGCATGTCAGTGACTTAAAGAAAATGTATGATCCATTCACAGTGGTGTTCTGCTATGCTGGAGACTGGGAGGACAATAAACATCTTTCGTTTATAAAACTGCATGGATAAATAATTTCTTTCTTCTTTTTTTCAGAAATGGATAAATAATTTCTGATGTGTTCCTTTGGCCGCTCCAGTTTAATGAGGAGAAAGATGTCCAGGGCTGATGAAAAGCTATTACTTATAAAATTACATAGATAAACAATATCTGACATATCCCTTTAAGACCTCTGGTTGAATGAGGAAGGAAATGTCCAGGGCTGGTGTGCTGTGAAAACCAGGCACAGACGCTGCTGAGCAAATGTTATTTTTGCTTGCGGCTTGCAAACAACAGCGGGCCTTCTGAGTGGATGTAATGTCTTTCTTCAGGATTGCAAACGGCCAAGGACAGTGTGATTGTTACTATCTTCTTAGCCCAGCACATTCCTTCTACTATTCCTGGACCCACCCTTCATGAGAATAATCTTTAAGAAGAAATTGTATCTTGTCCTCTGTTTTATCATAGTCTGCTGACACGATTACCCTTACCACCTTGTAACTTATGAAAATAATGAACAAATAGTGGTGTCATCTGGAGCGTGTATTCTGAGCAAGAATAAGATAGAAAACAGGATGTGAAAGTATGTACAAAGACTATCAAATGTTTTAGTGCTCCTTTGTTGTGGTTGGTGTAGCATTATACAAAATATTCCTTCAAAAAGTGGAGAAAATATGGGAGAATTATGGGAGTCTTGAGTATGACTCAGTGAAAAATTATTTTGGATAGCACCATCTATTAAACTTCCATGCTCTCTGGTGCCTTCCAGTGGTTAACTAACATGATACTGATAGTTTCACTTCTTTATTTCTTTATTTTTAAAAAACCTCTGCAACTACTAGTTTATTAGTGTCATGCAGAACTCAGATGTTTAGTATTTCCCCTGAAACTATGTAAACAAATGCCAAACAGAAAGAATCTAAGTCAAAATCATAGCACACCATCACACCATCACAAAAGTGTGTAAAATTGTAAGAACACTATTTTAAAACACTGACACTTTAAGAGAACAATAATCTCAAACTGTAAAATTGACAAATTGTTCTCTGAACAGTTAAGCAGATAAACATGACTCTAATGAATGAGCTTAGGTTTTATAAAGAATAATCTAATTCAAATAAATTGGATAATTCATGCTGAGATGCAAAGTTTGTGTCTTTTTTCACGTCTATCTGATTTATAAAGGGGCAAGCCACAGTAAAGAAATATTTCTCCTATTTTTCAGTGTGGCATTGTTTTAAGAACTGGCCTAATTAATTAAAAATACTCTTAGGTGACTGGTAGGTGGCAAAGTGGTTAAAGGTGCTGAATTCCCACATGGCTGACTGTGGTTCAAGTCCCAGACCTGGCAGCTTGCTTTCCCACTTTCTTTTTGTCTCTGTCTCTGTCTGGTCAAATTAAAAAATAATAATAACAAATGGAATGAATTAAATAAATAATTATTTAAAAGATACTTTTAATGGAAGGACAAGTTTTCTAAGCAGTCCATAGGTAGATAAATGGGAAAAGACTTTTACAGTCAGCACTTTCATAGCCTTTGCTGGAACCAAGGTCAACAAAAAAACTATAATATGGCAGTCTTGTATTTTAAATTCATGCTTTGGGGGATACATTCTAAAGTCTTCTTGAATAACTGCCATTGCATGGTAATGGGAGTTAAAGAATATAGAGTCTTTAATAGAAGGTTAATGATTTGTATTTATTTATTTAAAAACTAATTATTTAATTTTACTTACTTGTTCATTTATTTTAATTTGAGCAGAGAGATTCACACAAAGAGAGAGAGAAAGGGAAAGTGAGAAAGCAAACCACTAAGTCTGGGACTCGAACCATGTCTGGCCATGTGGAAGTCCAGCATCTCAACCACCACACCACTTGCTGGCATCAAGGTTAGTGCTATGCTAGGTTACTGACTCTGGACCTGGAGATCTCATATGGAAAGTAAATGTATAAAAAAAAAAAAAAAAAGCTAAAGTGAAAGACAGCTGTGATACCATTAAGTATTTCAACCCAGAAAGGGCAGAATGATAAAAATTTACATGGAGAACTTTGCAGAAATACTGTATTACAGTGATAGCTATTACATTCTTAAAAATTATCAGAGTGCCCCAGATTCTCCCTGTTGTCTTTTTAAACTATCATTTTCCTCCCTGAGCAGGGAAATGAGAAAAAGAGCAGAATTTCATTATAAATTACAGCAATTTTGTTGACTGAAATACCAGTAACAAAAGAGTCATAATTGTCACCAGTAAGTTCAATTAAAATTAAAATTGCACCTATAATTATATAGGATTGATCTGAGACAATAAAGAATAAGTTATGAAAGGTCTTCTCCTTCTTTCATGAGCCTGTCCTTGATGATAAGGTTATTACATGATAACAAAGATGATAGAGAAAAATCTACCAGCTCTCAGAATGCAATTTGTACAAAATGGGATGTTTCATTACATTGAAAATCATCATGAGTTTCTTAGCTGTTAGAACAAATTTGACTCAAATGCAAGAAACTGAAACTGTCAACAGGGCTGATTATGCCAACATGAGTTTTGTTTCCTGCCTTGTGCATGTCAGTGACTTAAAGAAAATGTATGATCCATTCACAGTGGTGTTCTGCTATGCTGGAGACTGGGAGGACAATAAACATCTTTCGTTTATAAAACTGCATGGATAAATAATTTCTTTCTTCTTTTTTTCAGAAATGGATAAATAATTTCTGATGTGTTCCTTTGGCCGCTCCAGTTTAATGAGGAGAAAGATGTCCAGGGCTGATGAAAAGCTATTACTTATAAAATTACATAGATAAACAATATCTGACATATCCCTTTAAGACCTCTGGTTGAATGAGGAAGGAAATGTCCAGGGCTGGTGTGCTGTGAAAACCAGGCACAGACGCTGCTGAGCAAATGTTATTTTTGCTTGCGGCTTGCAAACAACAGCGGGCCTTCTGAGTGGATGTAATGTCTTTCTTCAGGATTGCAAACGGCCAAGGACAGTGTGATTGTTACTATCTTCTTAGCCCAGCACATTCCTTCTACTATTCCTGGACCCACCCTTCATGAGAATAATCTTTAAGAAGAAATTGTATCTTGTCCTCTGTTTTATTATAGTCTGCTGACACGATTACCCTTACCACCTTGTAACTTATGAAAATAATGAACAAATAGTGGTGTCATCTGGAGCGTGTATTCTGAGCAAGAATAAGATAGAAAACAGGATGTGAAAGTATGTACAAAGACTATCAAATGTTTTAGTGCTCCTTTGTTGTGGTTGGTGTAGCATTATACAAAATATTCCTTCAAAAAGTGGAGAAAATATGGGAGAATTATGGGAGTCTTGAGTATGACTCAGTGAAAAATTATTTTGGATAGCACCATCTATTAAACTTCCGTGCTCTCTGGTGCCTTCCAGTGGTTAACTAACATGATACTGATAGTTTCACTTCTTTATTTCTTTATTTTTAAAAAACCTCTGCAACTACTAGTTTATTAGTGTCATGCAGAACTCAGATGTTTAGTATTTCCCCTGAAACTATGTAAACAAATGCCAAACAGAAAGAATCTAAGTCAAAATCATAGCACACCATCACACCATCACAAAAGTGTGTAAAATTGTAAGAACACTATTTTAAAACACTGACACTTTAAGAGAACAATAATCTCAAACTGTAAAATTGACAAATTGTTCTCTGAACAGTTAAGCAGATAAACATGACTCTAATGAATGAGCTTAGGTTTTATAAAGAATAATCTAATTCAAATAAATTGGATAATTCATGCTGAGATGCAAAGTTTGTGTCTTTTTTCATGTCTATCTGATTTATAAAGGGGCAAGCCACAGTAAAGAAATATTTCTCCTATTTTTCAGTGTGGCATTGTTTTAAGAACTGGCCTAATTAATTAAAAATACTCTTAGGTGACTGGTAGGTGGCAAAGTGGTTAAAGGTGCTGAATTCCCACATGGCTGACTGTGGTTCAAGTCCCAGACCTGGCAGCTTGCTTTCCCACTTTGTTTTTGTCTCTGACTTTTTCTTGTCAAATTAAAAAATAATAATAACAAATGGAATGAATTAAATAAATAATTATTTAAAAGATACTTTTAATGGAAGGACAAGTTTTCTAAGCAGTCCATAGGTAGATAAATGGGAAAAGACTTTTACAGTCAGCACTTTCATAGCCTTTGCTGGAACCAAGGTCAACAAAAAAACTATAATATGGCAGTCTTGTATTTTAAATTCATGCTTTGGGGGATACATTCTAAAGTCTTCTTGAATAACTGCCATTGCATGGTAATGGGAGTTAAAGAATATAGAATCTTTATGTAAAGATTAGAACACACTTTTCTATTAGTCCTTCAAGGACTAATGTTTGATCCTAATAATCCCATGCTGTGAGTAGACTGGTTACTCTTCACTTGTAAATGTTAAGTGGGCTATGTGAAATTTCTTATAAACTGATTAAAATGTTGGAATTTCAGTTATGGATGAAAACTGTCTCCATTTCTTTATTACCCTCACCACAATATGCCAGGTGTATAAACAAAAGCTTTTTATCAGCTAACTATAATGAAAAGATAGACACCGTAGGAGGGCAGAAGTAAAAGACTAGCTCCCCCTCAAGGAGAAAGTTTCAGAACTATTAAAAGGACAATATTAATAATAAAAAAATTATATTGACTTAGAAGCATTCAAAATGGCAACAAAACAGCTACAACTTTTTTTTTCAATTACAGAGTGATACTCAGTTAACAGAACAATAATTATTTTATATAAGCTGCATCAGAGACAACTGAAGATGAAAACACTACCATCCCCACATACAACTAATCTGTGCTGTGTACCAATAAGAACCTGCTTAAAATTTCCATTCCAGTTTATGACCCCCATAGTGTACCAGGCAAAGTTAGTGGCTATTGAAAATACCACCAGGACATGGCTGTCTAAAGACACATTCGGTAGTGCATTAACTGTACTAAAAAAGGCACTGTATAGTTTAAAAACAAATCTCACACACCTTTACATTTTTTTTTTCAAAAGGAGTAGGTTGTGTATGGGGAGTTAAATGCCTTATAAACAAAGAAAAAAAAAACTGCGCTAGAACCAACTCATTTATCATCATCCCCTTCCTCTTCATCTTTATCCTCTTTATCTTCCTCCTCTTCCTCATCTTCTTCATCTTCCTCTTTCTTTTTCATGCTCATTTCAGCCTTGACAACTCCCTTTTTTGCTGCATCAGGCTTTCCTGATATTGCTCGGTATGGAGCAATATCTTTTTCATATTTTTCCTTCAGTTTAGCAGCTGTCTTTCCATAAGGCCATTTATCATCTGCAGCAGTGTTATTCTACATCTCTCTCAGTTTTTTTGCGACATCACCAATGTATAGACCAGGATGTTCTCCTTTGATTTTTGGATGATATTCAGAACAGAACAAGAAAAAGGCTAAAGGAGGCCTCTTGGGTGCTTTGGGATTCTTGAACTTGTTTCTCCTTTAGGAGGGATACAGGTTTTCTTTTCTCTTTCATAACAGGCTTTGTCCACCTTTACCATATATTCAAATTTTTCTTTCTCTTTAGCAGACATGGCCTTCCACCTCTCTGAGCACTTCTTAGAAAACTCTGAGAAGTTGACTGAAGCATCTGGGTGCTTCTTCTTGTGTTCCTCTCAGCAAGTTTGCACAAAGAATGCGTATGATGACATTTTGCAACTCGGCTTCTTAGCATCTCCATTTTCCACGTTTAGTTATCTTTCCTTCACGAGGCACAGAGTCTCCCAGTGCCTGTCTGGCTGACACTTGCCCTGGTCCTATCTCCAACCAGTTTCACTTCTATTAATTTCTGGAAGCTGTCCCCATCCGGCTTTCCTGGATAAAAATTTGCAGAACTCTGAAACCAATAACTGTATTTTCCCTATTAGATTACGAGAAGTTAGGGGCCGAAGCTTTCTGGGTCATTATTTGACCATAGGGACTTGCTGTGTTTGAATATAGGATAAGCTTGACAAGTAAATTATCAGACAGAATTGAAATCCTGAGTACTCAAGCAAGCAATACAGTGTATAATTGAAATTCACATTCTTCACGTGCAAATATTTTTGCCAGAATAAACTGAGACCAAAATGAGAAAGGAGTGATTGAACGCCCGATGGAGCAGGCCCTGTAATGCACTGAAGCATGACCATCCCCCAGTGTTATTGTTCGGTCAGTTTCTATTCTGCTGCCTGTTTCCTTTCACTTCTCAGAATCTAACTTTCATTTCTTGTTCAGTTTTTGTGGAGACTCCTTGTGCAGATCCTCTGACTTGGTAAGTGGTTCTCGTCCATACCTGGACCTGCCTCACCTTCCCTCTCCTCCACTGATGCAAGACTCCTCCATTTGTGATTCAAGGTTTGTGAGTGATTTGTGGTGGCAAAGGAGGAAGGTTTTTCTTGGTAAAGTGGTTTTTGTGTGTTTGAGTGAGTGTCATTTGTGGTTTTGAAGCAGCTTCAAATAAACAAAAAACCACATTTGGTGGGGTCCTGCAGAGATGGCTGAGAAGGGCAGTATTGTGTTTGGGGTGTGGGGGAGTGGGTTACTTTTAACAAAGAGAGGTTAGAAAAACCAAAATGTCCTGTTTGTTTCTAGTAAAGGCTGTGCTTTCTTCAGACTGAATTGCTCCTATCTCCCTCTTCTGTGGTTTTGATTTTTCTACCTTTTCAACATAAGCCATAATAATTTCTTAATCAGAGGCAGAAATTCTCTTTCTCCTTATCCACCAAGGATGAGAGCCCTTATCTGGACCTAGATGTATGGAGAAAGGGTCTATGGATGTGCTAGGGATAAGACTCTTTTGGAGCTGATCATTTTACTCTCTTTCTGGTTATGTCTGAGAGGTTGTTCACACCCTTCCTGAGGAATTACCAGTCTGAAAGGTGAGGCATGATGGTCAGACTGTCACCCATCTCTGTAGCTCCCCTGGTCACTTTTCTCTCTAGAGACCCAAGTACAGGAAATGTGTGCTTTCCCAGTGCCCATGTCTTACTCTTAATTGAATAATACCCCATGACCCTGTAGTGTCCTCTTCTGCTTCAGGACTTCTTCATGTCTGAGACACACCTTTTCACGTTTCTCATCTCCAATCTTTACTCAATTTTCCCTCACGTGGGGCTAAAGAAATGACTTGGTAATTTCTCATGAAGAACTCTCTCTTAATCTTACCTCAAAGAAGGCACTTCATACCATGTTCTATTGTCCCATATATTCCAATGTGTACTTTTCTTCTCACTTTTTAAAAATTCCAGGTACTGGGACCAGCAGTTGGCATAATGGCTATGTCATTGGACTCCTATGTAGTTGACCACGGTTCAAACCCCAGACCCAGTGGTTTAAACTCACACCAGGCACATGTGTGTGCGTGCCCAAGATCCCTAGAGGAGAATGGAGGAGAAGGGATTGTGGCATGGCCATACCCCCCTGGGGGGTGATTTCTTGTTTTCTGTCTCTCTGTCTCTCTCTGTCTTTCTGGCGAGCGCATGCGCCCCATAGCAAAAACCTCTCAAAAAAAAAAATTCAGGTACTGTCTTCTCATGTGTATATCCTTTGTATCTGGACAAGCTTCAGCAATTTTACTTTAATAGCTTGAGATTACTACGGAGCACAGTAAAAAGAAGGAAATATATGTTTTTTAAAAATATTTTGATTAAAGTCACAAGAGAAAAAGCAGAAAGCTGTGATAAAAAATTCTGTAGCATTTACTTAATATGCAATAAATTTTAAGTACCTATAAGAGATTGTTTTTCTTGTCAGGCAAGAAAAAGTAAATAAACAGTATAAAAGTAATGTATTGGTAGTATGCAATATGTGATCATTAGCATAAATGTGTCAGTGTAGCAAAGCGATTTTAAAGAACCTTCAATGAAACATTGGATTTAAGAGGGCTTTTTTGTCCAGAGTGATCAAGGTGAAACAAGGTAGGGTGGGAAAGAATGTGCAAAGAGAGAAGCAGGAGGGGAGTTCTGATGAAGGGGAAGAGATGAGCATGTGGACTTAACAGACCATGACAAAGACTGCCTCACACTTTGTGGCAGAGGTTTGATCAGAGGGATGACAAGGTTGGTGTCTGCTTTAAGAGGGTCACTTTGGCCAATGACACGAGAACAGTGAGGAGAGCAGACTGCATGGGTCTAGGGGCAGGCTAGCCAGAGCAGTAAGAAACTCCTCCTGGTTTCCAAGTTGAAGATTCAGGTAAGTGGGACCAAATTTAAAGAAACTACTTAGAGCATTTTCTGATGAACTAATTGTGAATGGGACAACACCAGGTGTAGCTTTATGAAAATGACCCTCTGGAGGCCAGCAGGTGTCCTAGTGATTAAAGTGGTAGACTCCCACATGGGTAACTGCAACTCTAGTTTCACACCTGGAAACATGAAATTCACACCAGGCTTGTTAGCATGCATGCCCCAAGTCCTGAAAGGAGAATGGATGAGAGGAGATTTCGGGGTGACCATCCCCTTGGGGGGTGATCTCTCATTTTCTCTCTCTCTCCCTGTCCCTCTATCTCTCCGGTCAGTGTGCACACCTTATAGCAAAAATTCATTTTCTTTCTTTATTCTTTTTTTTTTTTTTGAGAAGGGTTTTTGCTATAGGTGCATGTGTGCTTGTCAGAGAGACAGAGAGAGACAGAGAGATAGAAGGTAAGAAATCATCCTCAGGAGGATGGCCACACTGCAATCCTTTCTCCTCCATCTTCCTCTTGGGATTTTGGGCAGGCATGAACATATGCCTGGTGTGAGTTTTAAGCTGTTGGGTCCAGGACTCAAACCACAGTCGAATACATGGGAGTCCAGCAATATAACCATTGCACCATCTGGTGATCCCTCCCCAGACCTGGTGGTCCCTCCCCAGATCATACATTTCTTATTGTCAGTTTCTGATGGAGGAACAAGGAATGATTAAAAGATATTGGCTAAAACTCTCAGAGCACATTTCTCTCCAATATAGATACATTTTTTTTTCTCTCTTTTCTAAGCTGTACAGGTTCACAAAATCTCCATGCAGCTGATCAGGGTATTCTAAGATATAAGGAAACTGGTCCTAGTTAGCCCTAACTAGGTGACATTTGTGTCACCTTCAAAAAGGAGCTTGCATTTTGTTTCTGTGTCTGTCTGCTTGTCTTAGATGGAAAGAGTTTTCAATAAGATTAATATTTCATCAATGGTAGAATAACAAACAAAAAAACAAGGTAAAAATAGACAAGTATGTTAGTTTTCCAGGTCTGCCACAAAAGAGTTATCACTTATTGGATGGCTTAAATAGCAGCAATTCATTGTGTAGCAATTCTGGGGGCAGAATATTCCAGATAAAAAGCAGCAGTAGGATTGTTTCTTTCTGAAGGCTATGCGGGAAGGATCTGTTCCAGGCCTTTCTCTTACCTTCTAATAGTTTGCTGACAATCATTGGCATTCCTTGGATTATAGTTGTATCAGCCTGATACCTGCTTTTTTCATCAAATGCCATACTCGCTGTGATGTGTCTCTTTTTTTATCCAAATTTCCACTGTGAATGAAAGTGAGCTCTAATGCAGTACTCTCATCTTAACTTTATGATAACATGATCACCTGCGAAGATACTAGTTCCGAAAAAGATAACATTCATACATGTTTAGAATTAGGCTTCAACATCTTTGGGGGAGAAAAATTCTACCCATAGTAACTCTCTCAGGATCTTTGAAATAGGACAGATTTGATCTCTCCTCTGTATGACCTCCCTTACATACTGAGACTTTTCTCCCATGGTCATGAGATGTTGTTGGAATCCATGTTTCCCAGGTTTCTGTCAACTGTGTGATTCTTTGAATATGTGAGCCTCTTTTCTTCATCCCTACAAACTTATTTACACCTTTAGGTTTCTACTGTCATTCTTGCCATATGTCCAGTCCAAGGTGAAATTCCAATATTTAAAAATTCTCCAATATCTACCTTCCCATGATGTTGGATATTAAAATAGTTTTTGCAGCTCTTATCTTTATTTACATTTAAAAATTTGTGCTATCTTGAGAAGAAACCCTAAGGAAGATCTTTTTTTTTTTTTTTTTTTTGGAGAGATTTTCACTGTAGGGCGCGTGCGCTCGCCAGACAGACAGAGAGAGACATAGAGACAGAAAGCAAGAAATCACCCCCCAGGGGGGATGGTCACACCGCAATCCCTTCTCCTCCATTCTCCTCTCGGGATCTTGGGCACGCACGCACACGCGCCCGGCGTGAGTTTTAAGCCACCGGGTCCGGGACACGAACCGCGGTCGACTACGTGGGAATCCAGCGACATAGCCATTACGCTAACTGCTGGTTCTCTAAGGAAGACCTTGAGGACAATGTGTTCACCCTAACTCTACCCGTTAGAATGTGATTATCTTTCTAGTCACTTAATTTTATTTACATACCCAAGGAAAGGGAGTACAGTATTTTTATTTCTCAAGAATTTTGTATAAAGCATAAATATGTAAAAGTCATTTCTACATTATAACTGGCTATAAAAATGTTAGTGATACAGTTTTCTCCCTACTGTGGTTTTTGCTATGTGTATGTGTGTCTTAGGGGAGTAAGTGAGAGTGTATGGGTGTATTCAGTGTGTGTAGGTGTGTAAAGAGGCAACACTTCTGCACTGGAAACTGTATGTGTGTTCCCAAAGTTCAGCTATTAGAGAATTACTAACTGAGGGGAAGAAAAGATGAAAATATTACTAGAAGGTTTTTATTCATCTATGGAGAGATGTGGAGATTGTAGCCTTTATATATTGATCACTCATTGTGTCCAATGTGGTCTGCAGTATTTTAGGTATTAGGAACACATTCATGAAAAAAATAATCCTGATCTGTGCATGGATTATATTTTAAGAGGAAGTGGTAGACAGTTAAATAAAGATGCAGCGTGTTGGGGCCAGCAGGTGATGTGATGGTTAAGGTACTGGATTCCTACATGGCTGACCATGGTTTGAGTCCCCAATCTGATGTCTTGCTTTCTCACTCTCTGCACCTCTCACCCTCTCGCCCCATCTCTCTCTGGTGAGCACACATGCTCTATAGCAAATTAAAACAATAATAACAACAATAAAATAAATGAGATTAAATAAAATAATTCTTTAAAAAAGTTGCAGTGTGTTCTCTAGTGAATATAAGAGAAAATAGCAAATGTGCACTAAGTGGTAAATATGGATAGTTTTGCTGTTGATGATTCATAGCAGGCTCTTGGGATAATAAGACATGTAAGGAGAAACTGAAATGAAACATGAATAAGTCCTGTTGAATCAAGGGAAGGACCTTTCCATGCTGAGATTAGAGCAACGGCAAAAGACTTTCCTCAGCAATGGGTTTGATGCTTTAACACCAAGGATGTGTTTTGGCATAGGGAATGGCAAACTAGATGAATGTCAAATGGCATGACAAGTAATATCATTCAGACACTAAAGGCCATGTATTATGGCTCCATTTTTATGAATTGATGAAAAACACCCAGGAGATTAGTAGCTGCCCTGGGCTTGGTGTCAGAATGAGAGTGACTGCTAACGGACACCAGACTTTTCTTTTCTTTTTTTTTTTTTTTCTGTTGATGAGATGTTTTAAAATTGGGTTATAGTCACAGTTACACAGTTCTACAAAAGTAATATAAATAATTGGATTGCACATTATAATAAATGCATTTAATGCTATGTAAGCATAAATCAGAAAGGCTGTTAAAAAATGAGTCATGCAAATGTCTGGGGTAAGATCATACCATACAGAGACAAGAGCAGATGTAAACCCCAGGGTCAGAAGTGGGTGTAGCTTATTCAACAGGGAGGATATTTTGGGGGTTGGGGACAAACAGCACAAATGGTGGGTCAAACAAAGCTATTGTTTGAAATTGTCTCAGTTTCTTCTTTTCTCTCTTAACAACAGAGAAAATAACAATCATTGTTCTGATGGAGTGAAATTTTTTTTTTGGAGAGGTTTTTTTTTTTTTTTTTGCTATAGGGTGCGTGCGCTTGCCAGACAGACAGAGACAGTGAGGCAGAAAGCGAGAAATCACCCCCCAGGGGGGATGGCCACGCTGCAATCCCTTTTCCTGATGGAGTGAAATTTGTCATGAAATCTAAATTAAGATTACGTGTTTGAAATTATTTCAAGGTCCTTTTCATTTCTTCACCAACCTATTCTTTGCATCTCCTTTCCTTTCTTTATTAAATATTAACATTTTGTCCTGTGCTAAATCTCTACATATAATCAGTGCCTTTTCTTACCCTGCCCTATTCAACATTCCCAGTCCTGCAGGAATCTGTGAGCAAGAAGAGCCTCAGGAGTCAGGACAGAAGGAATCTGAGGGAGCAGTGTGATGGATTTGTCAGTCCCAGTGAACATAAAGGAGGTGACCTGCCCCATCTGCCTGGCGCTCCTGACAGAACCTCTGAGCCTGGACTGTGGCCACAGCTTCTGCCAAGCCTGCATCACTGCAAAGAACAAGGAGTCAGTGGTCTGCCCAAGACTAGAAAGGAGCTGCCCCGTGTGCCAGACCAGATACCAGCCTGGGAACCTTCGTCCTAATTGGTATCTGGCCCACATAGTAGAGAAAGTCAAGGAAGTCAAGAGGAGCCCATGGAAGCATCAGAAGAGAGAGCTCTGTGTACACCATGGAGAAAAACTCCAGATCTTCTGTAAGGAGGATGGGAAGGTCATTTGCTGGCGTTGTGAGTTGTCTCCTGAACACCGTGGTCACCAAACATTCACCATAGACAAAGTGGTCAAGGAATGTCAGGTAGGCCCCAGGGGGAGAATAAGGCAGAAGAGGGTACCTGACATGCAGTCTCCACCTATGTATACCACATTGTTCCCCTTGTCATCATAGAAGTGATCTGTGATCTCGTTCAAAAACCATTGCTTAGCTTCAGAGGTCTGAAGGATATTACTATACAGTTTTCTGTTTTAATAAAGAATAATCCTAGAACACAAGTTTTTGATCAAGAGAGGTTCAATGAATGGAGAACTGCTACCCAAGATAAGCTGTGACTGCCACTCTGAGCAAGAGATTTTAGGAAAGTATATCTAGTTAGATGTGGGAGGAGGGTCATGAGAGTGAGGATCTCCTTGCTGTAGGGTTCCTGCTTACTTGAAGGAAAGAGAAAACCAGGCTGCTCTGGCTAAGGGGTTGTGGCTTCTGTCACCTGGTAGTAAAATATATATATATATATATTTACATCCTCACATTCCTCCCATGTCATAGATTCTACTCACCAGCCTCACGGTATCCATAACCTGATATATTATGAAATAACCTTGACATTTTACCTTTTATCCTCTGTTCCAGGTGCTAAGAAATTTCATGGCTTGACTCTGGTGATTCATTTTTTCACAGGAGAAGCTCCAGGCAGCTATCCAGAGGCTGAGAAGAGAGCATCAGAAAGCTGAGAAGTTGGAAACTGACCTTGGAGAAGAGAGATCTTCTTGGAAGGCAGGAATGGACTCTTCTCAAGAAATTTCTGAGACAGGAATCTGAGCAGAACCTTGAGATTTATCACAAAAGATCTCTTCCTCTTTGTTACCTCCAAATTAATATGCATAGGAATCATTTGATTAGGTTTAATTTTATACCATGCTGTTTGACCATGGGGTTAGAGTAGACATTTTGCAAATCAATGATGTATTTGGAAGGAAAGGCACAGAGGGAAGCAAATGTGAACGTGGCTTGTAAATCCTCTGTCCCATTTTTGTCATCAGGTTTAGGCTTTGATACATCCAGGAAACACTCTGTAAAGGTCCCAGGATCCCAGTTTAGGGAATGTGAGTGGAGGGCTTTAATACACAGAGAGTGGCACAATGGTCCTAGACAGGTGTGTGCAATCCAAGCCTCACCCAGGTATCACATTTTTCTCAGGCTAGTCCTCCAAAGAGCAGACTTGAATGTTTTACTCTGAGCAGAGCTCAAATTGAAAAATAGTAGGAAAATGGCATTAATAGGAATTGCTTGATGACTTTCATTCCATTCCTTTTTAAGAACTTCTAAAAGAAAGGCATACCCTCAATCAGATAGACTAACTGCTTCTTTCTCTTTCTATCCCAAAGTCTTATATTCAGACTGAAAGACAAAAGATCTTGAAAGGTTTTAATGAAATGAGAAGCATCTTGGACAGTGAGGAACAGAGGGAGCTGCAAAAGCTGGAGGAAGAAGAGGTGAATGTACTGGATAACCTAGCAGCAGCCAAAGACCAACTGGGCCAGCAGAAGCAGTGTGTAAGAGAGCTCATCACAGATCTCCTACGAAGGACACAGGGGACACCAGTAGAGATGCTGCAGGTGAAAATTGGAATGGGTGTCTACATAAAAGATTTTGGGAAAACACAGAGACTGATTTTCCTTCCATCTGGGTCACTAGGAGCTCTTCCTTATATTGGGTTGCCAGAAAAGTCATGATGCATTTTGCATAGAAAAACATAGAAAAATATCTCATGACTTTTGTGACAACCCAGTAGTTGGTAGCATTAGAAGGTGTCTTTGGGCCCACAGTGCCTCTTCTATGCCATTTATTTCAGGTGTCAGAGTGATAAATCAATGAGTGATTGGCAAGGAGATTCTCCAATATTTTTAACTTATAAAAAGTAGTACATAGGGGACCAGCAGTTAGCGTAATGGCTATGTTGCTGGACTCCCACGTTGTTGACCATGGTTTGAATCCCGGACCTGGTGGATTAAACTCACACTGGGCCCGTGTGTGTGTGTGTGTGTGTGTGTGCCCAAGATCCAGAGAGGACAATGGAGGAGAAGGGATTGCGATGTGGCCATCCCCTCTGGGGGGTGATTTCTCACTTTCTATCCCTCTGTCTCTCTGTCTTTCTGGCAAGCGCATGTGCCCTATAGCAAAAACCTCTTAAAAAAAGAAAGAAAGAAAGAAAGAAAGAAAGAAAGAAAGAAAGAAAGAAAGAAAGAAAAAAGTAGTACACAAGATTATTGACTTGAGAGAGGAGATTCTTTGTTCCAGTGACATTTGCTGGGCTCCTTGTTGTCTGTGATTTCATGTGAGCATTAGTAAAGTATCCACTCACTGGGCTTAGTCACAGGCAAACAGCATGAGCCTTTGTTTATATTTGATTTTTTGTTGTTATTGAAGGATGGCAACTGTGACACCAGACTGTTAATACTGAGTGATGGATGTTTGTGTGTAGGAGTGAGGGGGGAGGGAGGGGCTATGTTGACTGGAAAAGAATGTGTGAGAAAACCTATAGAAACCTGATGGAAGATTTAGACTTACTATTCTTTTGTCATGGAAGTAACAATAGAATGTAATCTTGACCCCCAGAAAAGGTTGAGAAATTCAGGAAATTTTAGATATTTTCTGCTTAATTTTTGTCATTCTTCTTCCCTTTCTTTGCTAGTTGAACAAGAATGTCTACTTCTCTTTGGTTCCAACACTGAGATAATTCATTTCTGTCTGTTGGATCTTTTCTTTTGCTTTAAAAAAAAAAAACAAGCTAAAAAAACCCCACACATTTTTTGAGGCTTAATTTACATATCATAAAATCTACCAATTCTAAGTACAAATTTTAGTAAACATATTGAACCAAAACCAAATTTGTTTTTAGTACTTTTCCATTAAACAAAAAAATTCCTCATGCCCACTTGGAATCAATATTTATTCAGATCCCTTCCTCTCGGCAACCATTTAGTTGTTTTCTGTTTCATGGATAAAATTCTCTATATAGGTCCAGACCTTTCAATATAAATGGAAACATATGACATGTAGTCTTTTGCACAGAGCATCTTTCATTTAGCACAATATTTTAAATTTTATTCATACTATAATCAGTACTGGTGTTCTATTCCTTTTTATTGCTAATACTAGTTCATTATCTGAATATATCATACTTTATCTAATCATGTGGTTGTTGGCTACATGGATTCTAGTTCGGGCCTATTATGAATACTGTGACACTGAACATTTACTTATTTATTTTTTGTGGCTATATATTTTCATTTCTTTTGAGTAGATTTTAATAGTGGGATTTCTGTGTTATAGTCTAAGTTTATGTATTTTTTAAAAGTCCTATACTATTTTTGAAATCTGTTACTCAGTTTATATTCATAGGAATAATAAAATGGTTTCTAACATTTTCTCATTTAACATTTGTAACACTTGAGATAACTTTAAAAAAATTACAGCCATTCTGGGAACCAGCAGTTAGCATAATGGCTATGTTGCTGGACTCCCATGTAGTTGACTGCGGTTCGCGGCCCGGATCCGGTGGCTTAAAACTCACGCTGGGCGCGTGTGTGTGCGTGCCCAAGATCCCGAGAGGAGAATGGAGGAGAAAGGATTGCGGCGTGACCATCTCCCCTGGGGGGTGATTTCTCGCTTTCTGTCTCTATGTATCTCTCTGTTTGTCTGGCGAGTGCACGAGCCCTATAGCGAAAACCCCCCCAAAAAAAAAAAAAATTACAGCCATTCTAATGGATGTTTAATGGCATCTCAATGTAGTTTTAATTTATGTTTTTCCTGGTATGTAATAGTACTGAACATTTTCTAATGTATTTTCACATATAGATTCTATTTGTAACATATTATGTCACCTTATTCTCTATTTCTTATTTTAGGTCCAGTTGTAATTTTATAAAAAATATTTCAAGTTCCAATTTTCCGATTTTGAAAGTTCACAGAAAATAAATAGACTTTTGCTGATAAATCCCATATATTACAACCTTGCTACAATCACTTATTTGTTACAGATTTTTTTTTTGTCAATTATTTGGCATTTTGTATGTAGACAATATGTCATCTTAGAACAAGGCCAAGTTTGTTTTTTCCTTTGCAGTCTGTATACTTTTATTTGTCTTTGCTTGTCATATTGCACTGGCTAGGACTTGCAGTAAAATGTTGAACAAGAAGTGAGAGGGATTATCTTTTCCTTGTTTATGACATTAGCAGGAAACTGTTCAATCTCTCATTATTAAGATGTTGACAATATATATATTAGTTGAGAAACTTCCCTTTTATTTCAGGTTTTCTAGGAGCTTATTTTTTTTTTATCATGAATGGGCATTAGATTTTTCCTGCATCAATTGATAAAATCATTATATTTTTCTATTTCATTTATGTGGTAGATGACATTAGTTGACTTTTTAATGTCAAACCAACTTTGCTAACTTGAAAAAAATCTCATTTGTTTGTGGTATAAAATGTCTTTTATACTTCATTAGATATGATTTGATACTATATTGTTCAAAATATTCACACTTTTGATTATTAAAGATACTAGTTTTTCCTTTTCTGTAATATCTTTAGTTGGTTTTAGATTGAGATAATGTTTGTCTTATAGAATGCGTAAGGATGTAGTCTCTCTGTTTTTATTTTCTGGAATAGATTTGGGGATAACTAGTATAATTCCCTCCTTAAATGTTTGGTAGAATTCATCAATTCATCAGTGAAATCAACTGGGCCTACTCTTTTGTATTTGTCTTGTTTTTATGTGTTACTTAGAAGTGGGCTATTTAAAATCCAAATATTTTGGACCAGCAGATGGTGTGGAGGTTAAGGTGACTGGATCCCAGAAGGCTGAGTTCATGGTTAAAGTCAGACTTGACATTTTATGACCAAAATCCCAGAAGGAGAGTGGAGGAGAAGGGAGTGTGGAGTGGCTATCCCCTCTGGGGGGGGGGGTAATTTCTTACTTTCTCTCTCTGTCTCTAGCAAGTGCTCATACTCTATGACAAAAATCTAAAAAAAAAAACAAAACATAAAAATCCAAATATTTTGAAATATTACAGCTGTTACTGGTCTCTAGCCAAATTCTATAGATGTCTGATAAAATATTTTATATGATTTCAATGATTTAAAATAGTTCATGTGTATTTTATGATATAAAATGTAACCATATTGGTTTATGTTCCATGTGAACTTGAGAAAAATATGTATTTGTCTATGAGAAATGTTTTATAGTATTCCATAAATGTTATTTATATTAGTTGATATATTGTAGTACACTGTTCAGGTACAGTTATAACTGTAAAATTATCTTGTGGCCCCTGTAATAAATTACCACAACTTCTTTTTTTTTTTTTTTTGAGAAGTTTTTGCTAGAGGGCACATGCGCTCTCCAGACAGACAGAGAGAGAGAGAGACAGAAAGCGAGAAATCACCCCCCAGGGGGGATGGCCATGCCGCAATCCCTTCTCCTCCGTTCTCCTCTCGGGATCTTGGGCACACACGCACATGTGCCCAGTGTGAGTCCTAAGCCACCGGATCCAGGACGTCAACTGTGGTCGACTACATGGGAGTCCAACAACATAGCAATTACGCTAACTGCTGGTCCCAATTACCACAAGTTCTATGAATTAGAACCACAAAAATGTACAGTCTTATAATTTTGGAAGCTATTAAGTCCAAAATCAGGAGGCCAGTAACCATCAGAAGCTAGTAAAAAAGCAGGAACAGTTTCTCCCTACAATAGGGGCAACTCTACTGATACCTTGATTTTGAACTTCGATCCTCAAAAGCTGTGAGAGAATATATTTCTATTATTATTGTTATTGTTATTATTTGTATAGCAGAGGGCATGTACTCTGACCAGAGAAAGAGGGAAAGCACTTTCAAGAGTCACACTGCAGTATTTTTACTACATTTTTTTTTCATCCTGTCAGAATTTTAGACGGGCAAATCTGATTGATCTTGCATACTGGTATATCGCTAAGCTCTTATTAATTTCAGTGACTGTGAGCATGTGTGTGTGTGTATTCCTTAATCTTTATTATATACAAGATCACGCTATTCGTGAAAAAAATACAGCTTTGTTTCTTTCTCATGCTATATCTTCTTTTTTCTTCTTTTTTCTATACTTCTTTCTTCCTTTTCATTTTTCTTATTGCACTCGAGAAAACCTCCAATGCAAAGTTGACAGATGAGTTAAAATAAGCTTTTGTCTTTTTCTTGATCTTAGGAGGAAATAATTTGTGTTTCACTATTATTATATTAACTGTCTGTTTTTCATATATGTCCTTTATCAGGTTTTTGGATGTTCTTTTTTCTTGTTGAGAAGCTATCTGAAGAGGTTTCAAAGAAAAAAAGAGGTTTCGATTTTTTTTGAATTGTAGGAGGAGTTCTTTATATATTCTGAATATTAATATCAGAGATATGTTTTGGAAATATGTTTTCTCATACTGTGGGTTGCCTCTATTTTGTATTTGTTTATTTCACAAAAATGTTGTTTTCAGTGTTAGTAAAGTCCAATTTATCAATTTTTTGCTTTTATTACTTTTACTTTTAGTGTGATATCCAAAAATACATTCTCAAATCTAATGTCATGAACATTTCCGCTGCTTTCTTCTAAGAGTTTTACCTCTTAAATTTAGGTTTTTGATCCATTTTTAGTTACATTTAACTACATTCTAGTTACCATTTATTATATGGTATAAGTCATTTGTTTTTCATGTTGTTGTAACCATTTTTTTATATTAAGCCCATTTTTGGTAGTAGGTTGGTAATAAGGGAGAAGAGGTAATAGCTAAAAAATGGAATATAGAGGACAACATTTGTCTGTCAAACTTCCATTCTCTTTGTTTATTTTTTGTACAAACTTATTGAATAACCCTTTGAAGAACCACCCTGTATCCTGTTTAAATCCATGTAGTTGGTTAAAATTAATAAAATCAGTAGCATGAAGGACACTTATGTTATTCAATTATAGGAAAATCAAAATATCTAATTCCTATGTTTTTTCCAACCCTATTTTCATTATTTTAAGAGAAGCACCTGACCCATGGTTTGCTTACTATAGGATTTTACTACCATTATTACAAAGGGAAGGTATATTTTCTGGTGGGTATTGTTTGAAGGACTACAGTTCAAACCTGGAAATTTAAGTTGACGCCCTGCAGAATTTGAAAAGAAAGTAAGTATAGAAAGTAGAAGGTAGATCGGATTTGTATGAAAATATTGTTAGCTGAAAACATAGCTATGAGTAAAGTTATAGTTAATCCTTTTAATTTCTTTTAAATTTTAATTTAAACTTGATTTAGTTGGTTTTTTGCCTTATCCTATAACAACAAAAAAGCTAATACAGGCAGTAATACTATTTCTGAGATAATAAAGCTTATTGGAGGCCAAATTTTTGTTGATATAAAGGAAGTTGGGCCAGAGAGAGGGAGAGCAAATACATTCTTGTTCCAAAAGGAAATAAAGGCAGCACCTAATGCTTATGAGGAAGAGAAGATGGTTAAAAGAAATTAAGAATGTGAACTAGACAGACTAAGAAAATGCAAAATTTGGGGTAAGATATAGATTCTAAGAGTGGGTGGGTATTGGTACTGTTCTGAATAGTGGAGTATAAATAGTTGGGCAGTAGTAAGTAACACTTTGACTTTCTTAGTTGCTTGTTCCTTTGGCTTGTTTAATACTGAAAACTGGATGAGATAACCTACATATAAAGTTTGGGTGGTGGGTAGAGAAAGGTGAGACAAACATTAACTTGAGATTTTTGTTTGCTTGTATTGGTAGCAAAAACAAAATGTATACTCCAAAGATTCTTATTATTATTCATCTTCGATTTTCCAAAATTTGTAAAAATGTCTGACAAATAATAGATTTCACCTATATATGTCTAGAAAAAAATAAAAGCACATCAAATTTGTGAATTAAGAAAATGTATGCAGTAAATTTATGTGTTAAAAATAGTAGACTTCCTTTCTTGCTCTTAAATACATCCCCTTTCTAGATACTTGAAGCATCTTCCTGACATCGTCACATAAATCCTCTGTAATTGCCCGTCTGAATCTTATCTCTACATTGTGTCCCTCATTCCATGACTATCTCTTATTCTCAACGTATCAAGGGTTTGGTAAGAATGTGAGGAGGAAGGTGGATTGATCTTTGCAAGGTAGGAGGACTTATCACTCCTTCATAGGTTGCCAAATAATAGAAGATGCTCAGTTAAATTTAAAATTTAGATAAATAACACAGAATTTTTAGTACAAAGGTATCTTAAATAAACAAAAGGCACTAAAATTATCTTTGTTTATTCAAAATTCAAAGTTAAGTACCCACTTTTATGTTCTAAATCTGGCAATGCTGTACTTGACTCATGTTTCTCTCTTCTTTCCAGGATGTGATTGATGTCATGAAAAGGTATGTATGGAAGACGAGGTCTGGTATGCGTGATGAGGAAATTATGGCCACTAGTGCTATCTTTGGCCCAGACAGAATGAAATATAAAATCTCATAACTGACAAATTTTTTCATTAAATCATCTCAAATTGCTGACCATAGGTGAAGGTTTTTATTGGTAGGGAGTCTGGATATCAGAACCCTGTAATTTCATTCATTTTATTCAAATATTTATCTCTGCTTCAGCTGCTGTTTCCATATTTCATAAGTGTCTATCTCACTTTAGGAAGGATCCTGTCCTCTTTATATGACTTTCTAAATGGCTCTTATTAAAGTTCTAAAAAGAACCCAAAACCACCCCCCAAAAAACAAAAACAAAGACTCAAGTCTTGGGAAATAGTGGCTTTGCTGCCAATATAATTTTATGTTGCTTACATA